CCTGATTATCACTTCAAAAGTTTATTTTTCCTCCTGATGATAATAGTCCACCTTAATTGATTAGTCTTGTTATAGTTGGTATGGCAACACCCATTTTTTCATGTTCTCTGTGTATATACATCTTCCTACTGTATTTTCCACTGCATGCATCCAATGAAGTGGGTTTTAGCCCACGAAAGCTTATGCCCAAATAAATTTGTTAGTCTCTAAGGTGCCACAAGTACTCCTCGTTCTTATTACAAATTATGTTGACCTAAATTACATCAACAGAGAGCAGTAATTAAATCACTTCTGCGTGCTCCTTGGGTCAGTGGTGAATGTCCTCACCAGGACTGCTTACACCAATTGAACTGTCAGTGTACAGCATTGTGGGATGGCTTCTGAAAGCCAGCAACAGTCAATGTAAACAATGAAGTATCTGTCACTGATACTGTATCAACCAACCTAAGCGCTATGCCTCTCACGGAGGTGGAGTTATTTAGTTGGTATAGCGGGCAAGTTAAATTGGTGGGAGTGACATTTTAGTGTAGACACTTACAGAATTAGGCTGCCATAAGTTGCCGTGAGTCAACCTACACCAGGGCTCACACTGTGTCCTGTGCTTTGGGTAGCTTGCCTCTGATGATGAGCTTTCAGGTGGTGGTGGTGGTGTTTGAAGGCCAGAAGAGGGGTTCAGGAAAGATTTGTTTCAAAACACCATATCACCTGTGGATGAACATTTTTCACAAAGTGATCACTCTATATCTGACCCCTGAGTCCTCATATCTGAAGGGAAACCTACACAACACTTTCAAAAGATGAGCCTGGGAGCTTAAATTCCTAACTTTGCTAGCTACAAAAATCAGTCTTACTGAAGACACAACACTTATGGCTTATTACAAAAAATCTGTAACCCACTAATCTCCTTTTTGTCCTATGACTATAGGATTGTTTATGGGCCACTTCATCTTGAATGGTTTCTTAGCATATGTGTCAACTACTTATACTAAAGTATCTGTTCAACCTTGTATCCAGCTGTGACACTGAGGAAGCTGTGACCCAGACATCAGGAAGAGCTTTGTGTAGCTTGAAAGCTTGTCTCTCTCACCCACAGAAGCTGGTTCAATAACATGAACTCACCATGTCTCTCTAAAAGATGGGTCAGACAGATATATCAGTTCAACTTATAAATAAAGCAAAACAAAGCTGCTTTTCTAAAAATTTCTTTGTCATGAACCCTTAAATCATCTTCAAGTTCATCTTATCATCAAAAAGAGTCAAATGTAGGCCTGAATGAGAAGTATGAGAGCCCCAATTGATACGAATGACAATTCAATGGCTCAAATAGCTTGCTGGGATTATTTTGCTTTGGAAGCTTTAAGCACTTTGTCCAAATTTATCCAAAAGTTTGACAACTTTTTCCCCACATCTTCAACTTTTCTCTTCCTTCTTGGTCTCCAATCAACTACCTAAGTTTGTTGATCTCACATTAGGGTGTAGCGCCTCCCCTCAGGCATGATACTCTCTGCTGCAATTAAATTTCTAATCACAGATTCAAAGCAGAGCCTTTTCTTAATCAGTTCTGTCTTCCTGTTAAAACCAGAGGTAGATGAGAAAAATATTTAACCAAAATTACCAATTTTCATGTATGTGAAATGTTCATAAAAGAAAGCCTATTTTACTAAAATTTATGACATTCAATTTTCAAGTGTAATTTTTTTACTTTATTTTTATTTTATTTTATTTAGAGGTTGTAAGAATCAATAATGCATTGTAGGATACTGGTGGGAAACAGAGTGGTTTTTCTTTTGCTATACTACACCAATAGTACCAGCACCAATAGTCATTATGCTTTCAGCCTGAAAATTTCTTTCATCTTCTCCCTAGTTGCCACAAGTTCTACTTCAAAGATATACTAAAGATATATATTTCCTTGTCTTGAATGGTATGTGCAGGACCTGGAACAGATTCCTAAGCTACTTCTGGAGATGGATCCAGAAAGTATACATCTTGATATTGAGTTCTGGAATCTACAGCTCCTAAAAGTATTGTTAGACAAGGACTTTAACAAATGCTAGATACTGTGGCAAAGTGTCAATCCACAGTAAAGCCTGTTAAATTATTCTCAGTTCACAACACTGTCTCTAATTAAAACCACAATCATTTTAAGGTTTTTAAAAGGACTAGAACTGTATTACCTATGTGACTGTTTTGTGACTTATGTTTTTGGCTGCTTGCTTGCAGCTGTGACTGCACACATATGACTATTCCATATGCTCTGCTTCAAAACCAAAGGGATTGGATATCAGCAGTGAAACACAATCATTACAGAATACTGCTACATCAGCAATCTAAAAATCAGCCTGTGAAATGTATGCAAGCTTTTACTTATTCACATTTTATTTGTTTTGTGTGTTGGTGCAAGCTACTTGGCCCCACTTTATGTTGTGTACAAAGCTTTAAGGTGCCTCATTCTTGAAGCAAAATGGAGACAGGTAAATAGTGGTGTCCCCCAGGGGTCTGTACTGGGACTAGTCCTATTCAAGATATTCATAAATGATCTGGAAAAAGGGGTAAACAGTGAAGTGGCAAAATTTGCAGAGGATACAAAACTACTCAAGATAGTTAACTACGTCCAAAGCAGAATGCAAAGAGAAACAAAGGGATCTTACAAAACTGGGTGACCGGGCAACAAAATAGCAGATGAAATTCAATGTTGATAAATGCAAAGTAATGCACGTTGGAAAACATAATCCCAACTATACATACAATATGATGGGATCTAAATTACCACTCAAAAAAGAGATCTTGGAGTCATTTTGGATACTTCTCTGAACACATCCACTCAACGTGCAGCAGCAGTCAAAAAAAGCTAACAGAATGTTGGGAATGATTAAGAAAGGGATAGATAATAAGACAGAAAATATGATATTGCCTCTATACAAATCCATTGCCTCTATATAAATCCACATCTTGAATACTGAATGCAGATGTGATCACCCCATCTCAAAAAAGATACATTGGAATTGGGAAAGGTTCAGAAAACGGCAACAAAAATGATTAGGGGCATGGAATGTCTGCCATACAAGGAGAGATTAATAAGACTGGGACTTTTCAGCTTGGAAAAGAGACGAATAAGGGGGGAATATGACTGAGGGCTATACAATCATGACTGGTGCAGAGAAAGTAAATAAGGAAGTGTTATTTACTCCTTCTCATAACACAAGAACTAGGAGTCACCCAATGAAATTAAGAGGTAGCAAGTTTAAAACAAACAGAAGGAAATATTTCTTCACACTACGCAGTCTACCTGTGGAACTCCTTGTCGGAGGATGTTGTGAAGGCCAAGACTATAACAGGGTTTAAAAAAAGAACTAGATAAATTCATGGAGGATAGGCCATCAATGGCTATTAGCCAGGATGGACAGGGATGATGTCCTTAGCCTCTGTTGCCAGAAGATGGGAATGGGCAACAGGGGATGGATCACTTGATGATTACCTGTTCTGTTCACCTGGCGTTGTCTGGCTATACTGAAAGAAGGACAGGACATGTGGCATGGGTTTAATCAGGTCTCAACTATATTATTTGTCTGGGACTGGCAGATAAAAGCATACCATGCAAGTAACTCCCGTAATTAC